GTTATGGGAAAACACAATTGGAGTAACAACCGATACACTGCAAAAAGATTGAAAAGAGAATAAGGCAAAATCACTACCATGTTGAAGGTATTGATAGAGGTATTTGGGGTTTGAGATATTGAAGATATAAGCGGATTTGCAGTCTAGAAGATGCCCTAACAAATTTCTCCAACGTTCGTGTTCCACCGACTGCTTACGGCTTGTAGCAGGCCATGAACAGTTCGAGACAGAACGCAGAATAGTTTTGGAAAGAATGTTTCACAATTCTAACGGGAATGTTTAGCGGTTCTAACCAGAACGGTTTTGTGTAGGGGAGGTGCCATGCTGCTTTAGACATTCACAGACAACCGTTTTCGTGCAATGGCGGAGCCTGCGCCGAAGAAGCGGAAACTGACAAAGGAATGGTTTCTTGCGCAGCTGCGGGATGTGGAAACGCAACAGGCCGAGCAGAAAACGGCAGCAGCTGACATACTTGCCCGTTTTCCAGAAGACGACATTCGCAGAGCATCATCTCAGGAAGTGGCAACCTTTCTTCAGATGCACGTCACGGATGAAACAGACCGAAACATCGTGAGTTTGCGGATATGCAACCGCATTGCAGATGCCTTCGCCCCAACACCAGTTCCTCGGCTCTTAACCCTAGCCCCCTCCCCTTTTTGTTTCCTTCCCTATTTCCATAGCTTACCCTTTTTTTGGTTGGTTCGTAGATTGTAGGGTTGGGTTTAGCCTTCGTTGTTTCTTTCGTTTGGTGGGGTGTTTGTTTCCCTGATTATGTGTGAGGTTGCTTCAACAGACGCCCTCTGCAAGTGGTTGGATGAGGCGGTGCAAAAGACGCCGAAGCCGAGCGAATGGGAAACCGATAGTGCGCAGAATTTTGAAAACACCATACTCGGCGTTGGGGACATGAAAAAGACGATGATCGTGCGCGAGTGCTATGCACAAATGAAGGCGCAAATCACAGGGTGGCTCCACGAGAAACATGCTCAAGAAGACCCGACGGGCATGTTTGTTATCACTGGCACTCCGGGCATCGGCAAGTCTGTGTTCCTCGCCTACATGGCCGCGCTCTTGGCGGAGAAGGGCTACGGCATCGTGATTCAAAGAGCGGCAATGTTTTGGTCGCTAGAGTCTAAGAAAAAGGCAGCTGCACATGGAGAAGAAAAACCCATCATGCTTTTGCAGAACCGCAAAGTTGTGCTTCTGGCAGACCCGGGTGGGGGTGGGACGTCTCAAAGTGTCCATTCCCGCGACCTTGGTTGCACCCTCGTTTTCGTCTCCTTGCACGAGGCACACTACAAGGATGGTTTGAAGCAGCAGTCGAACCACAGCGAACGCCGCTTCATGCCCGTTTGGTCAGAAGCCGAAGTAGGCCGACATCATAAAGTGTTGTTTCCTGGCGAAGAGGAGGCAACAGCCAAGGAAGCTTACTGGCTTCTGGGTGGCAGTGTTCGGTGGCTTCGCGATTTGTTCGAAGTGCAGAGGAGGAAAGGACTGAGCCTAGAAGAGGTGGCCCGGCATCTATTAGAAAGGTATTTGTCAGTCAAGTCCTGGGATGACTTGGACTTGTTGATGCAACACTTCAAGCAGCCCCAGAGCGTGGAAGACAAGAAGGAAAGCAAAATGAGCTATTTGCTAGTAGTCCATGCCAGCGCAATTTCATTTGATGAGCCCGAAGTGAGGTTGATTGATTCCAAAGTTGCACAAGAGGTTTTGTGCGAAAAACTTCATATCAAGACAACAGACGAGCAGAGACGGTTCGTGCAGAGATTTTTGCATGAGAAGCATTTGGGTTCATTGGTCGGCAACATCTTCCAGGAACTGGTTCTCAACCATCTCACAGGTAAGGGAGCAACCTCAACAACTCTGGACTGCAGCTCCCTGCCAGCAGGCAAGACATGGAAAATTCGCGTTCCAAACCAGAAGTGCGAGTTGCAGCCACAAGGAGCGAAGGCATCGCAGTCCGACTTGAAACATGGCTACATATATCACCCGCTTTCGGACAATT